GGCCTCTTCTACCCAACGAAAATCATCCACAACCAGAGAGCAAGCTTCCTCTCTTACTTTCAAAACCAGCAATTTTCGTGCTTAGTTCATCTCCTTCCTCAGCTTTCCCCTTTGTCATGCTATTCTGACATTTGACAGAGTCACCGTCGAGCTGCCGGAAATAGCGCCCAAGCCATCTTTTCCTTTCCTTCCCTCATTCCCAACCAAACTCTCTTCATAATCCCTTTTCTTGATACCCATATTTCCCCAGGAACACTTAATTTTCTCTTTAGTACTAAACTCATGGCAACTATGCTCCCATGCCACAAGCTTCTCATGCCAAGCTAAGATTCTATCTGTAAACACCAAGAAATTATTTGTAATTTGTTGTTATTCTCATTGGTGAAGGCAACCAAGGTGTCTCCTAAGGCCTTACTACCCTTTCGAAGCATCCTTGGGGCTTAATTTTCGAACTCAGACACAAATGGGCAATTTCACACATCTGCTCATCCTTTACAGCAGCCCAAGCCCATTCGTCAGGCTGCTGGAACAAAAAGACCCCTACACTGGTAAATCATGTATTCTTTGAGTATCTTCTAAAGACAGCTCTCTCTCCAGTTGTGTCCTTGTTGTTTGTAGAACATCCTAAAAGATTGAAAGCAACAAATTAAGGGTTGGTGATTTGGAGAAAAAGATTAGCCTCATAAATTCTAGAGTTACTGATTTCAATGGTCCCCCAACTATTGCTCTAGTTTCATTTTGGTCCACCAACTAAATTTTTCATTTCAAAGGTCATTCAACTATTCATTTGGTATCAAAACGGTCCTACCGTTAAAATCTGTCAATTTTATTGTTAAATTGAGGGGTAAAATTGTCTCTATCAATTAAAATAGTAATATATAATTAAAAATTAAAGGAAATTATTATAAAACTTTCATTTCATGATAATTAAAGGAAATTATTAAAATAGTAAAAATCTGTCATTTCATCCAATTTTCAATTAAATTATTTAAAATATATATTTTTTGGAAAAAATTGAAGAAAAAGAGTAAACCTAGAGCCTCGCAGCTTTGGAAAACTACCAAAGAAGCCAGGAATGGTTCCACTGACTTCATTACCAGCTAAATGCAGAACCTCCAAATTCATGCATCTGGAAAGCGAAAAAGGAACCTCGCCACCAATTCTATTAAACCCAATATTCAAAACCCTCAACTTTCTCAAACCTGAGAACCGGTTTGGCAACTTTCCGGTCAACAAATTTCCCTCAAGATCAAGCACTTCAAGCTTCTCTAAACCCCAAACTACCTTAGGAATTTCGCCATTGAGTTCATTGTAAGGCAGCGATAAAACTCTAAGCTCAGTGAGCTTTCCAACCCAAGGTGAAAGCTTTCCAGCTAAATTTCCACTACAACGTGAACTAGTCCTCCAAACCCCAAACCCATTAAACGGAAATTGAAGTTTCAAAGTCTCAAAAAAGTAGTTATTAATTATTTTGATTTATTTTGTATTACATTAATACGAAATGAACCTGACAAGAGCTTTCTATTTTTTCTATATATATTCATTAGATTTCATTAGATTTATTATGTATAAATGAAGGAGTGCAAGTCTGCATATTCATTATCTTTCATTGTTCACAAGACAGTGTCTTCACACACACACACACACACACACATATATATATATATCATTATATAGAAATAGATCTAGAATAATACTACTTCAAACAAGTAGGAAAATGTATTGATTGGATTGTGTTGCTTTCTCTTTAGATATACACGTACAACAACCTCAACCTGATCCTATCAACTTTGATGTTTGTGTAAATTTTGAAGAACTAGAAGATGACAAAAGAAATCGAAGGGATCTCATTTCCTCAGGTACGTACACTATGTTCAAAGTGTTCGTCATACAAAACATTTTTGTATTTTTTTTTATACAAAACATTTTCTTCTTGGTTTTTTATATTGGTTTTCAATATTGCATCCTTTGTTATATTTTATATATAAAAAAGCACATGTGAAGTGTTCGTCATACACGTACACAGTTTTGTATGTTTTTGTTTTGCCAACATCTTCGGATTTCACAATGCAGTTATAGGTTTCTTCCAAGGAGTTGTCAAGAATCTTCTCAAACTGTTAGGTACGCTAGCTACATCCATCCACATTATTGATTCTTGGTTTAATTCTCACTTTTGTAATATGTTGTAGATTAATATTGTTTTCACTGTTAACCTAGGAATCCATGACTTACATGAAATGAGATTGGGCCATGACCGAATTCTTCAAATTCTACGGCTCATGTGTGACGTGGTAAAACGTACAATACTATCCTACATGCAGCAGGGAGTTTATCTGCACATCTTAATCATATTCAAGGTGCAGCTTTGCAAATGCAAAGAGAGCTGCAATGGTTCAAGGTCATATTTTCTCACTTTATTACATATATGTAACCTTAGACAATTACTTTGTTACATATACCTATAGGCTATATATGTGATGTGAGTTTTCTTAATGAAATGTAGGAGGTGGAGAGTATCGTACGTACCCCCACCGTCCATAGAAATGATAAATTTTATTGAGAAAATGACAGCACGAGAAGTATTCACCAAGAACCACAAAGAATTGGTGAAGGAAGGAGAAGAGTTGATGACAGGGATAGCAACTTCTTGCAAAGTTGTAGGTGCCCTCATTTTTACCATTATGTTTGCTGCTGCATTTACAGTTCCTGGTGGAAGCAATCAAGATCCCATCTTCTTAAGAAATAAGTTATTTAGGGTTTTTATAATTTCAGATTCTATATCACTCTTTTCTTCGACGACATCAGTGATGATATTCTTGGGAATTCTCACATCACGCTATGCAGAAGACGATTTCCTTAAGTCTTTGCCCACAAAAATGATATTAGGCCTTTTCACCCTTTTTTTTATCTATCACCACCATGATGGTTGCTTTTTCTTCAAGACTTTTTATTATGCTTGAGGGAGAATCATGGGTATTTATTCCAATCATTTTGCTTGCTAGCGTTCCAATCAGCTCGTTTGTGTGGATGCAATTCCCCCTCTTTCTTGACATTTTCATGTTCACCTATGGAAGAGGAATATTTGACAAGAAATGTAAAGCCTGGCAATAAAATCTTGATTATGCGGTGTGATCTTTGTCTTATGATGTCATATCTCATATGATATTTGTTTCTGGCTTTGTCACTTTTAAGAAGTTTTTATGAAACATGTAACGAAAAGACAATGTACGTGTGTGTTTCTATATATATCTATTTCGTTCAAATAAAACCATCCTTATAATTAACTTTGTTTGATGCGTACATTTTTGTTTGAATGTTTTATGAAATATGTAAAGAAAAGACAGTATCTTGTGATTTCTACTGAAATGTTTCATTCTTTTAACAAAAAAAGAAGAAGACAAAAACAGAAGACAGTGTGGTTTTTTATATGTAATTCCATCACTCGGTACATGATTTAAGACATAAAGATAAGATCGACTGTAGAATATGTGAATCCATCCTAACCACTAAGGCCAATATTATATAACTTTTGGGCATCAACAACAGCATTCTACCTTTTTTTTAGGTCAAACAACAGCATTCTATATTCACTCAAAGTTTCTAAGGCTCGACCCAAAAGGCTTGTTTAGCTTGATAATAGTGTAATGTAATCTTCGTTCCAACATTATGCTTATATTTCCCAACAAAAAGGGAAGTTTCTTGGATCCTTATTGCTATGTGATGTTTATCTTTTGTTTTTGTTTTTATTTTTATTTTTATTTGTGATCTTCTGATATCATATGATGTTCCATCTGTGGCTTTACCACTTTTAAGAAGTTTTTATGTTTCATGTAAAGAAAAGACAATGTAGGTGTTTCAAATTCTATTTTGATGTATAGATTTTGTTTTGGAAGTTTTACGAATTATGCAAAGAAGGGACAATGGCATTGTTTGTATGTAAATTCAGTACACTTCTTGATTTTAGACATGACATAAGAACGACAGTCAGAAATATTTAGAAAACGTGAATTCATTCTAACCACCAAGTCCGAAGTTATATAACTTGTTGGCATCAATAACACATCGTTTTTAGGCCTATACATATGATTTAATTTGGAGTGTCAATGTCAGATCTAAAGGATTGTATCAATTATGATTGGGTTTTCATTTCTGAAGCGGAATGAATTTCATATGACCCAAAGACTAACAAAATCTGATTGTTCGTCAATAGAAATGCTTGAATAGGCAAAGAATAATAAAACATTCAAAATACCAAAAACATATAAGACCAAAGGTGATAATTTCTATTGCTCTGTCTTGGGATGAATGGGATACCCTGATTATTATAAGCCAAGCTGCTTCTGAAGTGTGCAAGGACCTTCCTCTGTGCTATTTCCATGAATTCAATTATGAGAAAACGTCGTAGGTCTTAGGTTCATAACAAACCAAAATCATTGGGTGCCTAGGGGTTTCGAACCTCAGCCCACATGGGTGGAGGTGGAAGAGCTCAACCAACTGAGCTGTACCCAATTGACAGAAATTACTTAACTTTAATCAACATGATAACCTACCTTTAGCCTGACTTGCTAGATCCTGTATTTTTTTGCCGGTCCAGATTTCTCCTTATGATTTGCAGATGTTATATGTATCAATCACTCTGCAGACTGATGTGTATTAGTGTGTGTGCTTCACAACTTGGAAAAACTTTTTAGGTTTGAGTTCAACATGCTAGAATGTTGCCTTTGTACATCATTATTTTATTGTGATTCTAACATGAACATGGTATTTCAGGCGCCTGCTGATGCAAAGAAACCTTTGTATCTTCAATTTGCAAAGCTGGAGGAGGATTATGGTCTAGCAAAGTGCGCTATGAAGGTCTATGATGAAGCAACTAAGGCTGTTCCAAACCAAGAGAAATTGAGCATGTATGAAATCTACATTGCCCGTGCTGTGGAGATACTTGGCATCCCCAAAACAAGGGAGATATATGAGCAAGTAATAGAATCCGGTCTTCCAGACAAAGATGTGAAGACTATGTGTTCGAAGTATGCTGAGGTTGAGAAGAGCTTGGGAGAAATTGATCGTGCTCGGGGAGTATATATATTTGCATCACAGTTTTTGGATCCGCGATCTGATGTAGAATTCTGGAACAAATGGCATGATGAGTTTGAGGTGCAACATGGACATGAAGATACCTTCCGAGAGATGCTTCGAATAAGAGAAAGAAAAGAAAAAACTTTCTTCCTTTACAGACTGACATATTTATTTCCTTCCTTTTGTATGACTATAACTTTGTTACATGAATAAAATGGAACTTTGAAAAACAGAAACAGTCCGACAAACAATAATTGTATATTTGTAGCTTCATCTTCTTTTTCTTGTTGATAAAAATGAATTACATAAGAGAGAATTCCAACTTTTCTTCTATTTTGGAATCTTTGTTATAAAACTGATACATCTCCATCTAATTGTTATAAAATTCTTGTTCAGGCTTGTAATATTAATATGTTGGTTTTGGCTCAACATGAGACGCACGCAATGAGGCAATGGCAACACTTTTATATTTCACGCACCTTCTTAAATAATTGATACAACTCCCAGCAATGAGGCAATGGCAATGGGAAAAAAATTTGTCTTATTACTGTAGAGAGAGCTACATGTAATACGAGGTTCCTGGTCAACCATTGGAGTTCCCTTTGTTTAATTTTTGTCTCTCGCACGTTCACATCTAGATGCAGACATAGTGATCACAAGCAAAACCTCTAAGTACATAACTAGTTTTAACTTCTCAGTCTTCGTGGGTACGACCTCGTACTTGTCTTGCTATACTACTAATTGCCCCGTACAATTGCGAGTTAACATAACATTAACAACAATTGCCCCAACTCAATCTGTGAGTATGGTTATATTAATTTCTTTGATTTTCTTTTTCTGGCTTGTTTTAAGTTTTAACATATATATACACATGCTTGATTGCCAGATTGAACATGGCAGAAGCTACACTTGTCCCTGCTACTAGCGTAATTGCTAATCTTAAGCTTCTTAACAATTATAATATATGCACTACAACGTGTTCTGAATTGTTAAGTGGAACGCCCCTTAAATTCTTGTAGAAATGAATTTATGACAGTTAGTACTATATTCTCTTTTCTTTTGATAATTTAAAGTTATATCTCAATGTCTCATATTTTGCAAACCCAATCAAATGGTTAATTGATTGTCTTTTAACTCATTTTTTGTGTAACATGGGCCCATATGAGTGGTTATACTATATAATAATATTATATCTTGCTTATATAATGTAATTAAGTTGTTTATAGCTTCTCAATTATCTGTCTAGTTTAGAGGTGTCGGATGAGTCAGGTCGCGTCGGGCATGTCCATTGAGGCTTTAGGCCATACTCGGGCCGATACACTTAATAAATAGGCCAGGACAAGCCTGTCTTTTTAAAAATTTCATTAAGTACGACATGAACCCATGATCTTAAACCATATAAGGTTGGAATGGGCCACTAAACGAGACATCAAATACATGACTTTTGGTGCATTGGTAAATACAACAACTTGAATTATTGCTTAAATTTCATTATGAAAAATACCATAAACCATATTATATTGTATCACGTTATGTTTCATATCTCTAATAAAAATGAAACATACTTGAATTTGTGCCCCCTACATAATGGTTATGTGCTCATTAGACGTAAGTCATTGTATAGTAACATAAAAATCTTACCTCAACGTATTGATTAGGCAGATGTTCTGTTGTTTTGTTTTGTTGATAACTTGATAGGTATACATGTACCACCTGCTATTATAGTTCTTGATATTCGTATAAATGTTGAAAAACTAGAAGATGACCCAGTTAGTGGAAACGATCCCATAGCTCACTCAAGTATGTTGCGCAAGGGTTTGTCATTGGGTTGGGCCGGCCCAAATTTTTTGAGTTTGAGCCAAGCTTTACTTGCTTTTTTAATGTTTGGGCCGGGCCCAAACAAACATTCAAAAGCCTTAGCTCGAGCCTACCCATTGGTCTAGACCTAGAGAGACTTGACGGGCTGGGCTGCTACGGGCCTTTTGTTTTTTCTGAAGTATTTTAGGCTAAGGCGAACATACTTGGATACGCCAACAGACAGTATCGTTTTTTGTATGTAATTCCAATACTACGTACGTACATGATTTAAGACAAATGATGTGGCAAGTGGCAAGTGGCAAGTGACAAGGACTGTTATATCATGTGCCACATCAGTTGATATTAAAATGTTGGTAAACTAGTTGGTGCCCATAGCATTACTGCATTTATAAAAACCTTGTGTAACAAATGACATAGATATTGAAACAAATATAAGTTATCCTTAAAATCCCAAATTAATTCTTTTGGACTTGGTGTTAAGACAGATCCACAAGAAAAGATAATGCAATTTTATTTTTATTTTTTTTGTCATTCACTAGAGAGGGGGAGGGGGAATAATATATTGGGTTGCCTTTTTGGGGGTGGTGCCGCCCATGTGTAACAATAAAGGTGATTCTGTTTACTTAAATATGACAGAAAAATAGACATGATAGGATAAGCTAAACACGGTCTGCATATTTAAACTTCTTTACTCTCTCAAAGAAAAAAAAAAAATCTTTATAAACCTGAACAAAGATCCAGCATTTTAAACTTCTTTACTCTCTCAAAAAGTTTCGATGTATTAATATCACCACATGCTTTTAACAATTCTTATGAGCTCTTCAATTTGGCACATTATAAATCCCGAATGTATGGGGACGCAAATGAAATCATGAGAAAGATCTTCCCCTGTTTTATGGACAGCCGTGATATAGAGCGGAAATGTTTTAATTCATTGGAACATGTTTTAAGTCCGAGTAATATTCTAATGGAATTTGTACAAACCAAAAAGCTAGCTACTGGTACAAAAGATTGTAAGCTGGTAAATCATGTATTCTTTGAGTATCTTCTAAGGACAGCTCTCTTTCCAGCTGCGTCCTTGTTGCTTGTAGAACATCCTGAACGATTGAAAGCAGAAAATTAAGGGTTCTATTGTGATTTCGTGATTTGGAGACCTCATGCAGAAACAAACCAATTTGACCTAATTTCACTTGAAGTTGTGGATTAAAGAGATAGAGAGAGAATTACATTAAACTGCATGTAGGACGCATGCATTGCAAGCCACTGAGCATCAACCATTTCAAAAGCTATACAGTATAGTACATCAAAAGCGGCTTCATCTTCTGCATGCAAATCATAATCCGGGAGGTTAAATATCAGAAACCAGCGCAGTTTTTTTGCAGTTCTCCAATTCTTAAACGCAGTTGAGCATTGTAAACGAAAAAAGACATTTGAGCATAACCTTGTCTGAGATGTACATTTACCTCCTAATAATCTCACGAAATTTATTCCTGGAAGACACCTTGGTTTTGCTGCCAAGTGGATCAGCAGACAAGGAAGATTCAGGAATAATTAAGATTCATTGTTTTCATTTATAAAAATCTTGTGTAACAAATGAGAGCGATATTGAAACAAATATAAGTTATCCTTAAAATCCCAGATTAATTTTTCTGAACTAGGTGTTGGGGCAGATCCTCAAGAAAAAGATAATGCAATCACTTGAAACGTTTGAAGAAAGAAGATGATTTCAAGTTGATGTAAAAATAAAGGTGATTCTGTTTTCTTAAATATGATAGAAAACTAAACATGATAGGATAAGCTTCATGGTCAACATATTTAAACTTCTTTACAAACCTGAGCAAAGATCCAGCATTTTAATCAACATAAATGATATGTTTATTCCAGCAACAGCAAAAGGGTATTCCCAAGTTGCTCGCTTCCCATCTTCCTTGAACAATAACCTACGGAAAGACACCTTCATTTTGGATTTTATAAAATTAGTATTAACTCATTTTTTGTGCACTTCAGAAATTAGGAAGGTAAAACACAAGGGCTTGGAGGGGGAGCCAGAAAAGGAAAATATGATTATTTGCAGGACCCACACAACAGGATAGAAGGCATACCGGATAAGTCCTGGTGAAAAACAGCAAGTTCTCTAGGGAGATAAAACCGCAACCCCTGAAGAGAGCATTTTACTGTAAGAGAACTGTAGAACAAACTATTCTACTAACATTTCCTTTTAGCAAAGTCCTTTCTACATTCATGAAAATCATGAAACAAACTGTAATTCAATTAGACAGAATTGTACCTAAAGTCAGTAGAAGGGTTAGAACCTTGCCACCCCATCTCTTTCCATTGCTCAGAAATTAAACCTTGCAGAGCAACATCTGGAAAGGCAGCACGCCACAATGCTTTCAAGGCTTCCTGAAGTTCATATAGAATAACATAATCTACTCAATGATATAGCATCAAACACTTAATAAAAAGGGGGAGGGCGAAGCAGAATGGTAAACAACATAAGAGCTGAAAATTATGCACTTCTATTGAAGATTCAACATGAAAAAATTAAATTGAAAAATCAAATGGTGTAGTCGTGATAGCAAGTTGTTCCTCAGCAGCTAAGATTTATTAGTGAGCCCTATTAGTGATAACCTCTATCAGACTCAGATTACAGATAACGAAATAACCGATGAAGGGTCATCAAATGTAAACATAGCTCAATTAAACCAAATTAAACCAGGATAACAGTGGATAATGAGTGAGAAAAAAAAAAAACTGATTTAGCACCAGCATGAAGAATATACTTGATGATCAGGGCGATTCTCATCAAAAGGTACTTGTAATCGTGCTTGAAGCCTCAAAAGTCTCTGTTCCTGTTTAGAAATTGAAAATTATATTGGAAGTCCGTCAAACGGATAACAGTGAAGAAAATCATTTCAGGAACTTTAAAAATCAACCAAAGCTAGGAGCGCACGTTTAAGTCTTCAGTAATTCCAAGAAAGTTCCTAAATACCAAGTCTGGTATCATCTATCAGAAATATTGTACATGATGACATCAAGATGATAATTAAGACTGAAAAAAAATACCAACTTGCATAAACCACATGAATGCCCAGAATCAACACATTATACTATTCAGACACTATGGCAGTTTCTCATAAAGTTAAGTAGTCTAAGTAGATGGGAAGTAAGAGATGCAAGCTTGCATTCATTGACAAACTCAACATCAGAAGCAAATGTTTGCAAAACACTGGAAACAAAAACCACTACTCAGCTTCAACTATGTACCTGAAGAGGACTCAAAGAGTAGTCACCATGCTTCTCATTTCGTTTGTTGCTTGAGCGGGTAAACAGTCCTGTCCATGATCGTGGTCCAACCATAGCATTAACTGCAACCATTAAACACTTGTTAGTGAAATATGAGAGTTTGTGTACAGAGTGGTATAGGATCATAAATGCACATTTTATTACAAATTTTTGGTAGTTTTAACAAGAACATGGTCAGTGTAGCATTGATACCAGTACATACAAGACCTATTATGTTTAAAGAGATTTTCTTCAAGCTCAAAATGCATACAATATAACAGATGAATGATGTCCAGGAACTAAAGGCATCCTATGAGACACACTGTTAGTGAGATTTTCTTGATCATTTCCCAGTAAATTTTGTCCACATAATTAGTGAGAGAAAAAATATCCATGAGACACACTGTTCCTCTGTTAACTTAAAACTGCCAATCCAGGAATCAATCCAAATTCCAAATAGAGCCACCAGTATTCACTCCACCATGAAGATATTGCTATATCTAACAATCACATTTCCCATGACCTTTAAGTTCATTGTAAAATACCAAACTTGTGGTAATGACGTACATGGTCTCCTCAAGAGACCTCAATATGAAACAATGAAGGTTCAACCCAACTATCTATGTTATTTCAAGACAAAGGAGGAAGTGACAAAGTGTTATGCTATGCAGAAGTGTCAGTCAGTTACCAAGAAATAAATTCCTTTAACCAATACCATCTTGTATCTGTTAAGTAGTACTAGTAGAAATTGGATGAGCAGTTCATCACTTATGACAATGAAAAGTGGGAATTAAAGAAATATGGAAATTCCGTTACATAATAAAAAGAAAATTAAGAGTATTCTATTGAAAACTTGAGTGAGAGAGAGAGAGAGAGAGAGAGAGAGAGAGAGAGAGAGAGAGGAGGGTGTGGAACCAAAGAAGGATTGAATTGGAAAAAAAAAATCAACTCTACTCACTAAAACATTGAGCTAACTGCGATTTGGCATGAGTTGAATCATGTGGCCATTCCAACTCCCCATCGCGTTTCTTATGTCTACGATAAATTTCATCCTCATCAACCTACATTTGATATTCGAAAGGGTATCAGTACTTATAAATCGTTGCATAACACAATATAGCATAGCAAAGGTTTTGAATTCATGGATAGATCTCATTCACTCAAGTGTCATAACATGAAACGTTTAGAAGCTACAGAGCATGTAGAGCACACAAACAAAAAAGAATTACTTTAACTTGTTAAGAAATGTGGCAAACGCAACACAAAATAAAAACTTTTGGTTGATGTACACACTTGATAAAGAAAAACAAAGCAGCAGACAGACAAACCATGTATTCTGATTACCAACAAGGCTGTCGTGAGTCATTAGAAGGCTTGCATATCAATAAGCAAAAGATCATCAATTAGAAATTGAATCAAAGGGTGATAATTTCACTTCAGAATATGAAAATACAGACTATTAACCAGTGAGCAATCCTAAGGGGCTGTAAATCACCACCAGCATTGATCTACATTAATCTTCCATACACATACAGAACAACAAAGAGATGGGATGGATAGTTTACTCTGTGATGGGAAGAGCAAGAAGGAAAGCATTGCCTATGCTTCCTTAATCTCATGAGGGGGGCCAAAATCCAGAGAGGGAGAGAGGGAGAGAGAATCTTTCACCCTTTTTAACCGAAAGCAAAAAGGCAAAAAACAAAAAGGAATTTGAAGAAATATGGGTGGCAAATGATTGCACCCAACTCATGCTCTTCAGTCTTCTCCTATAATTCAACCTCACGATTATTCAACTTTTCTTTGTCTACCCAATTTACTTTAAATAAAGGCCGAGAAAGTCAAGGAATGGCATATTGGTATAAATACAGGGGTGCCCAGAAACTATGAAGATGGGAACTTTCTAAAGGGAAAAGATTAATGGCACAATTAAAGGGCTTTTTTTCCCATAATTTATGATGGAAAAGATACGCAATATAAAGAAAGATTGAAACTTTGATGAAAAGGTGAGGTGGGTACCTCTGCACGCATAGCATTGACATACAAGACAAATATAACATTGCAACATACAAAACTATAGAGAGTGAGAGAGAGAGACATAGGGACATAGACAAAAATACCTGCTATGGCATCTGAGGAGACATGTTGGCGGTGGTGGTGTTGTTGGTGATGATGGTGTCACGACGGGGCCCACTTGAAGAAAGTGGTGGTGGGAGCAGTGCCGATACAGAGAGAAGAGGAAGAAGGATGGCATTATCTCTTTTTTTTTTTTTTTAGAATGAAAAACTTTGCATCCAAAAATGGAGTCTATGGGGGTTGTTTTGTCTCAATCCGTCGATGGCACTGAAACCAGTCAATTCCCTGCAAACCAGCCTAGATATTAGCTATCGGTTGCTTCTTTTTAAACCTTGGTGGTCTGTTCCTTGTGGCCACGCACGTGCGAAAATATTGTTATTCCAATTAATATGACTCGTTTAACAAATCATTTTTGGAATCCTCTTTGGATCTATTTCCTAACTAGCAAATTTTACATATGGTACAATGTACAAACAATGTGTTTCTAATGAGAAAATCTTAAAAAAATTCTAATCATGATTTGTAAATGTTTGTGGATCACATCACCTCATTGCGAGGTTTAACAAATACACATCATCGTTTTGAGGGTTGTTATTTGTTACTTGAGGTTTTCACGGGTTGTTATTTGTTACTTGAGGTTTTCACGGGTTGTTATTTGTTACTTGAGGTTTTCACTCGAGGTCATAATGTGTCAACAAGATAGAATTTTTAGTGTTTAAAATGAGCGTGACTTGGTTAACTTTGTGACTTGTTACATAAAAATTGAAGAAACTAAAGGTGCTTTTTTCGAACAAATTTGAAACCACTAAACATCAAAAGGAAATTCCAGGTCCTGGTAATTTCATAACATTAACCATCATCAGTAATAAACTCTCTGATTACAAACAGGAGCAATCTCTCCCTAGCTAAGAAACTGGAGGGTCCAAAAAGAGGACAGGGGACACTATGTTAGACTAAAATTGACATAAAAATTAGTTGACATTTGAATCTTATGAGCATGAACTAAGGAACAGGATAAGACTTGTTATGGCACATGCACTTGTAAGCCATGGGACATGTCTCAGCCTCTGCGATTGATGCGCAGACAAAGCTCACCATCACAAGCCTACATGGTGAGCAAGATCCACAAGCATGGGAACAATCTGGCAAGGTCGACCCTGCCACTTGGAGTGTATCTGGCCCCCTAATTCTCTTATAACTAATTGGCCTTCTTTCTTCCACTGCACCCTCTCTAATTGTGCTCTTTGGTATTAACACTGAAGACTTCAGATGGCGCCCATGACCTGCATCATAATTAATCAACAGAAAAGGAAAATTAAAGAAACGTTTAATGATAATTACAATTTAATCACAACCAACAATTTTGATAGAGAGTATGCATACGTGAGTGAGGCCGAGCTATGTGCCTAGCAGACATGGAATTTGGAAATAAAAGGAGAGCAACCATAATTGCAGCTACCCAAAATGAACCCTTCATGGATTTTTCTTGATTTTTTTTTTCTCTTTTGTTTAGTGACTGAACTTATGCAAAAAGCTAGAGAAGGTCTTGAGTGATTGTGAGAATGGTGGAAAGAAAAGGTTGAAGCAGATGAATATTTATAGAAGGCAGGACTAAGAAGAAAGTATTGAAGCAAATCACAGGAGTAAGTGGTATGACAAGAGAAGGTCACATGAAAGACACAAGATTGCATGCTCACAGTCACAGATAGTCACAGGACTCAAGCTTTGCTTTTGTTGGGTTCCATGGAAGAAGGGTGATATGGCTAGGCTCAAGAATTTACTGAATTAAAATGGTGCTTCTTTTACGTGAGCTACTCTGACTCAGACCTTGGCTCACATACATTATACATACCCATTAATGCAAGTTGCTTTAATTAATGTATTCTACAGAAAATTAAAAATAAAAGTTAAAAAAATTGAAGGCTCAAGGTAATAAATTTGGTAACTGAGGGTCTGTTGTGACTGCCATTAATAATATGCGCTAGAATCTAGATAGCTGCTATGTATTTGGTGAACTTAAGAAGCTAGCTAGGATCTATGGTCCTTCATGGACCCTCTCAAATGTGAAGCCACTTTGTTTGATGTTTACTGGCAAGTGCCAATGTGTCTCTAGCCATAAAAATTCAATTGGAACATGCATTGACCTGTACAAGTCTTGCCAAACCTTATAGGAGAATCAACCTAAAAGCCTAAAAGGCCGATTGCAGCAGCTTAACCCTATTACATTACGTGTAGATATGAGATGATCACCAGCCGCGCGCATATATAGCTTTTGGTATTTTGTGGCCCTTTTGCTCAAGTTTAGTTGATAAAGTGCTACATGGGAAATAAGGGGCTTGTAGCTCAAGTTGTTAAGAGCATTTATCTTTGTATTCGAGGTCTTAAGTTCGATTCCCCCCTCCCTCAATATTGCTTATATTAAAAATAAAATAAAAAGATTAAAAAAAGTGATACATGGGAGAATTAAGAAGATATAACATTCATTACTTTTCTGATTTTCATTTCTTTACAACTTCTTCCACAAAGGATGTTGTTCAGGAATTTTTTTTCCTTTTGGTAATTAACAAGGAAACAAGAATGTTGTAATTGGGAAATCTTCAGTCGAACCCACAATGTCGCTTCATCCCTTCAATACTCTATTAACACTATTTTTAATTCCCTTCTTTTTCTTATTCTAAGACTTTTTAAAGCAGTCCTTGTGAAAAAGGGTTAAGGATTTTTAAAATCAATTGCAATATTATCACTAACGCTTGAACATACTCAAAAACTAGCATTGACTCCGAGTCAAATTTAGCCAATTGTATCCACATTGAACACGAATATATCATATGTATATATTACCGATCTACAAATTTTTTATGACAGGGATCATTTATTTTAAGGCTTCTTAGATCAAGGTCTAAAACGATTAGTTGTCATTAGGTTTAGTCCACACGTTTTTTGTTTCAAATATAGGTCCTTTGACATTTATTACTTTTTTGTTGTGTCGAACCTTTGAGCTAACTAAGGAAAACACATTGAAAATCTAAATTTAATGCATTATTTCCTTATAATTGAATTTTAGAATTTAAATTTTGAATTTCAGAATTTAAATTTTGAATTCTTTCCTTGATAATAGTTACCTAATCTATGAATAAAATACAATTTAATCAATGAAAATTAAAGATCCACATATTATACCAATCGATCTGATAAATACCCACATAAAATAATGTACCTGACATAGAGGTAAATAGTGTTATTATTAGCAACGAAAAAAACTTAGTGATAAGTTGTGTTACCTATAAGTTAGGAACATAAATTAGTATACTACCTATAAGTTAGGAACATAAATTATATGACTACCTACAAGTGAGATATAAAAATAGACAAATAAAATTGTATGTTACCTATAAAAAAAAAGGTACATAAAATACTATTACACTTTGTAGAAAATATTAAAAAACACATATATATACTTATGCAATAGGCAATAGGACCCTACACCATAGGATAATATATCTACAAGAATATATAATATACCTCTACCACAGGATGAACAAAAATAAAAATTGTTACCTAAACTCAAACTAAAACACCTAACTATACACCAAGTCGAGAGCATAGAAAACATACATATGTTACTTTACCTACACAATAGAGTAAACTTAGATTCCTACAAAATACCTATGTATATCCATATTCGAAGGAGAATGACTATTTGTCACAACGTGATTTTTGGGATATGTTCGCGATATTTTCCTTTTTTATTCAATGACAAATGTCGTAAATGACTAATTATTATTATCCAATTTAAGGCATAAGGGGCAACATTGGAACAAAAAAAGATTTTAAGAAAAGAAAAAGAAAAAGATTACATTAGAAAATATTAAAAAGGGAATGTAATCCTATGTGGCACAAAAGTCAAATGACTTATATCAAAGTCATCAAATCTGAGAATTAAACCCAACTTCTCAATGGGAATTTAGATATATATCAACTTTTGTATTTATTATATTGCTTTTCCTAGGGGCTTCCAAATTCAAAATACAAAACAAGGACAACATAAAGGTACATATATTGGCCCTTCTAGATAAAGACTTTAATATTGTGCTTGAAAATCATCGAATTCTAACATATGCTGACTACTTAAATTAAAAAATCCAACTACTTCTTGGTCAAAGGTCAATAGTTGGAACTACCTGAGTACCAGGTAATCGAGTTCACCCAAAAACAAAATTACTCTAGGTCTTTGCTCTAGTCTTCTTTTCCATGTTAGCATTGAAGGTTTGGTTGGACTTTAAAAAAAGGGAAATATTTTCGCTCATTACTTTAATTCAATGTGTATTTTTATCATCATTTTTAGTGCTTGACACGTGTCTATATCAATAACTATGGTTAACTTTTTTACTTTGTATTTATGAAACCATAATTATGCATATGAACATATGTCAAGTGTTAAGAAGGGTGATGAGGAGGATACACCCTGAGTTAAAACGGTGAACAAAAATACTCTCCCAAAAAACTTCAATTGTGACTATTTGACATGCCACTGTGCCACTTGTCATTTAACAAGTCGGTTGGAGATGCTCTTATAGTTAATTAGTTAACCTCTTTTTACTTAGGCTATAAGCTAATGCTTATGCTTTATATATTTTCCACCTTGTGAATAATCCAAAATTATTATCGAGACCCCCAATATTTTCCACCTTAGGTATAATCTCCTAATTAACTATGAAGAGCCAATAACATTCCCAAGAATCGTAGATGGAGGATCACAAACAGTGGGTTTGCGCCACGTGTAATTATGTGGTAGTAGTAGAAATAAATATTAATGAATCTTCCTGGTGGTTGTTGAGCAATATTTGGCTTGCTAGAGGGTGGTGGCGCCAGCCAAGAAAGAAAAAAAGGAAAAGAATGAAATAACAGTCAACGGCTACTTCAAAAGTCTCATTCAAACAATTAAGAAAACGTGTCGAACCAAAAATAAAATTCTCTGCTTGATATTTGTATATAAGTTAGCAACTGAACTACCACAACAACCCAAAACTCTTCTCCAGCTTTATTTATAAATCTCATCATCAGTGTGTGCTCAAATTATAAGCAAAGCCATGAACGGTCTAGTCCGCGGCGCCACCGCCAGTTTGAGCCGGCGGTTTGACGGTTATGAGCCGCTGGATCGAGTGATGAGAAGTGCAAGCAGGCGTGATGTTCGGCGGAGGAGATCAATGTCGTTTAAGCGTAAGAAAGTGGCACATGTTCCATTGAGAAATAATGAGGACAGAGCCAAGCAAAAGCGGCAGATATTTCTGAACTCCTACAAGTTTGAGTCACCCAAAAAATCCCAACGCTCAAGGTGTATGAAGCTCAACAAGGTGGCTCGTAAGGTTAAGACAGTTGTGGCGAAGCTAGTGTCGTCGTTCCTCCGAATTGGAGGTTTCCGATCTTGTAATTGTCATTTGGCCATCCATGCCTCCTCCCCAACACCTCGTAGGAATTGATACTATATAAGCTAAAAAAGTAGATCTTGATTGAATGGATAAATACTATTTACAACTAAAGTTATAACTTTGAAGAATCATCGGATTCCTTGTAAGAAGTGTTTTTTTGAGCTATTAATGAAGTGTTAATTATAAGTGGCAAGTTGGGAATTCATCGAAATTCGTTATTTATGGATAATAAGGTGATCAATTTGATTTATGTAATTCTCTATTAATTTGGATTCATTACAGCGAAGGCAGTAAATTTAGTGGTACTTTGAGCCTAAAATAGAAAATTGAGGAAACTAAAGATATAATTGTTTGAACCCAAAAAAATCGGTTTGACGCACAATTACAATACAAGGCCAGTAGTTGTCAATGTTTGACGATGTCCACACACCACACAAAATGTAACAAAGTCCTTAACCAATAGAAATCGCCATATATCCCAACAAAAAATCCCACCACCCCTTCCTCGTCACATTTACGTATACCTCCTACTTCATAATCCAGCTGAAAATCATTAGATCGAAGAAGAAGAAGAAAGAAAGATCAAGTGCCCCTCTTTCTTCTTCGATCTTCTTATACTTATAACATACGTACAACATATGCATATGGATTAAGTAATTGAAGGGTTAAGTACGTACATACTCAATTCAATTGAAATCGCTACCTCAAGAAGTCATACCATTAAATATTATCATATACTATGCACTCTGGCCCTAATCACCCTCCACCGCCCCCATACGTGATGCTTCAAGATCAGGGTGCCCCCGGCCACTATCCAGGACCCCATGGTCGCAATCCTCCCCGGTTCAATGGCCAATACCGCCCCAACGGGCGCCGCAAAAATACTTGCTTGAGGTGCTATTGTTGTTTCTATTGTTGCTTTTTCATAACTTTAGTGGTGATTATCGCAGCCTTGGTCATCAGCTTCATCATAATTAACCCGCACGTGCCCGAGTACAAAATTAATGACTTCTCCGTCAAGGCATTCAATCTCACCCCTGATCTCAACCTCCACGCGCATTTCGTGATCACGGTAAAGGCTGAGAACCCTAACAAGCAAATCTCCATCATATATGGCAAGGGCAGCAGTGTAACCCTCTTGTACTCGGGGATGAAGCTTTGCTCTGGGAAGGTACCAGATTTTACTCAACCCACAAAGAACACGACCATGATGAATGTAGACCTCAAAGGAGACTTGAAAGGGAGTGACTTTGGAGGCTCCTTGGGAGAGTCACTCATGGAGAAAATGAAGAGTGATAGGATCCCTTTGACTGTTGCGGTTAGGGTACCTGTAAATGTAGCGATGGGAAAAATGCATGTGTTGAAAGATCCAATGGGGATTTATGTCAACTGCTCCATGGTCGTCAATAATTTGTCCCAACCAGATAAGAAAGTAGGGATTTCAGACAAAAAATATGACATTGATTTTTCATATAAGTTCAAACATTGATGAAAACCCCATGTTATATACGAGGTAGGAAGTTGAGCATTATGTTAGCTATATTCTAGCTAGCTAGCTGCTTAATTTCTGCAGAGGGAAGTTCAATTGCAGGGTTAATTAATGTGTTGTTCTTACACAAACAAATTTCTTCATTTTTTTCCTTCCAAATGTAATGCACAAAATTATTGCGTCTGTTACTTTAGCAATTTTTTTTTCAAGCGCGGAATTATAAATGGTACAGTACAGATGTGACTTTGTTTGCACATTATTTGGTGTATTTACTTTTGTACAATAACCGTTATTCGATCGATAGTTGCATCCCAACTACGGAAATTTTATGTTCTTCGATTCTCAGTTTAAGATGTTGTTGAGAAACATTCAACCCCATCATATGGAGGTTAAAGCTGCCATCAAATACTTCCAAAGGAAGGACATGGATGAGCTCGTCAAGTTCCATTAATACGTCGAACAGAATTTGACATTCTTCTTCAGTTTTAAGATAAGAACATGTTAATTGTTCCTTGGTTCTCTCTACTTGTGATACAAAATTCTCTCAAAATATCTTGTAGATTTGTAATCCAGGTACGAAGAAGCCTGAATCATTAGGGATAGGGAAGTAGAACTTCCTTTAGGGCCAGGTCCTTGACAGGACTACTTCTACAAGGTAACAACTCTAAAGTTGGAAGTTGGGCTTTCAAAAATCAACCCAATAACATTTTTACAAACTGATCAAAGAGGAAGTGGGTGTGCCACTTCTTCTTTTTTTCTTTTTTTTCTTTTCCAATTTTAATTTTATAATACATATGCTTTCTTTTTTTTTGAGGATTTTATTTATAATTCAGCCAAAAAAGTCATTAGCTACAAAGGGCTCCTTCACTAATGATCATGCTGGGTTGAAGAAACTCTAACATAGAAACAAATCATATGCTTTCTTAGTTGAAACAAATCCTATATCATTCTATTGTAAAGTAATTCAGTGAACTGTTCTTTTTTGCTTCTAATTAAGATAGAAACCTGGCGACCAAAAAGAAAGAGTCTACAGGGGAATTTCTTGTTACCTTTTCTTTATTTACTTCTTTCTTGGCATCTCTAAAGGGTATATCTCTCCATTTTCTTTAATTAAAGAATTTATTTTAATTGAACTTTTTCTTGATCCTTTGATTGCCCACACCACAGGTCATGACTCTTCTTAATAACACACCTACTATATTCTCTTTTTTTTTTTTTTCCAAACCTACTATATTCTCTATTGAGAGAAACTGATTTCGCTCCCAGGGTCACAAGAATGGCAATATGGCATTGAAAGAAGATAATTAAGGCCCAATTAACCTGCTAAAACACTTTCTAAAGTAAGTTTACATTCAATAATATGGATGGAAAAAATTAACATTCCTGAGCTTAAATAAGAAATATTGGATAATGGTTCTGCCACTGTGCAGCGTGCACTAGTGAGTAATTATTAGCACAAAAGAAACATTATCAAAGAAAGTTGTGAGAGTCAGCAAGTTACCTTTTTTTTATTCCTTTTCTTTTTCTTCTTATAATTGACCTAGGCCTGCATCATTGGAGCTTTACCTTTATCCACAAGGCTGCCTCCCCAACTCATCCCCCCTGCAGCTTGCATGCCATGTCCCATGTAGGCAGCATGCTCTGTGGCATAAGTTGGTCACCAGCTCAAATATACCTAAACTAGTTTATGAGAGAGAGAGAGAGAGAGAGAGAGAGAGAGAGAGAGAGAGAGAGAGAGAGAGAGAGAGAGAGAGAGAGAGAGAGAGAGAGAGAGAGAGAGAGAGAGAGAGAGAGAGAGAGAGAGAGAGAGAGAGAGAGAGAGAGAGAGAGAGAGAGAGAGAGAGAGAGAGAGAGAGAGAGAGAGAGAGAGAGAGAGAGAGAGAGAGAGAGAGAGAGAGAGAGAGAGAGAGAGAGAGAGAGAGAGAGAGAGAGAGAGAGAGAGAGAGAGAGAGAGAGAGAGAGAGAGAGAGAGAGAGAGAGAGAGAGAGAGAGAGAGAGAGAGAGAGAGAGAGAGAGAGAGAGAGAGAGAGAGAGAGAGAGAGAGAGAGAGAGAGAGAGAGAGAGAGAGAGAGAGAGAGAGAGAGAGAGAGAGAGAGAGAGAGAGAGAGAGAGAGAGAGAGAGAGAGAGAGAGAGAGAGAGAGAGAGAGAGAGAGAGAGAGAGAGAGAGAGAGAGAGAGAGAGAGAGAGAGAGAGAGGGTGGGTTTGATTACCTATTCCTTTGAGTCTTGGACTGAAAAAACTACCAACCACGCAGCCATTTTGCATTTGTTTGGTGAAGCATCTTGTGTGCTACATTTTTCTTTTGGTTTCTTTTTTCACTTTTATCCGACAAGGATGAGAATCAGCAGGTGAGGATGCAGTGTCAATGCGTGTGTATTAAGGTTCTGTACAAATAAAATGATGTTCATCTTAGGCAAATTACAAGGGTGATCACTTCCAGTGATCCAAAAGAGACCCCTAATTTAACTCAACCATTATCTTTCAACTTTAACAAAACTAACCTTTAAAAAGTAAAAAAGCAAAAATGAAATGAACGAAATTCCATTACACTATTCATGGATATTATGGATTTTTCTGATATTAAAGTTTTCATAACCCATTTCTGCAATTCATCTTTTCATAACTGACCCTTTTGCCACTGAAATCTTCTAATTTTACCACTTCTAAGTCAATGAGCAAGAACTTTCTATTTTTTATTTCTCATTTTGTCCCTTTGAGACTTTGAGTCTTCAATTATATCATCATTATCCTTTTTTTCCCCTGTATTGTCTCTTCAATGATCAAAATGATTATACTTTTTTCCGTCTGAACACACACAATTATCAAGTTCACAAAGAAACGGAGCTTTGCAAAAATTTCCAGCCCCATGTACTCCTGCTCTTATAATGTGGCTTCCATAGTGGCCTCACAAGTGTCCCAAAACGACTTTCTAGCGGTAGTGGGAGCAGATTTTCAAGGAGACTAACAATGAAAAATCTGTCTCGTGCCTCTCTCTCTCTCTCTCCCACTCTCTCTCTCTCTTCTCTATTTCAACCTTTTCAAACCCACTCCTCCTAAATAGGCAACACCAACAACATCCTCTCAAGTGAACCCAACTGTCATGTTGGTTACTAGTTCTGCTGCCTGCTTGTTTCAGTCTTTCACCTTTATCCTCTGTCTTTCATCAGCTCTCACAAACTAAAAAAGTTTCTCTTTCTCTCTGTTCCATTGCTCAAGCTTTCGCTGCAAATTAAGCAGGTGTTCCTCGTACCATTCTCTTATTTTTACCTTTGAAACGGATAAAACAGAGACAACCCAACATGTTCGACATCTTGTTCGGGTGGCGAAAGGCTTCAAAATGGTACTCAGATATGAAAGTTCATATTTTTTTTTGTTGGGTTGTTTTTATTGGGAACCAATTGTAGTTGCTTGTTCTGCATGTGCATGGTCTTATTGTTGCAGCAAGAGGCTGATCAAACAGGTCCAGTGCCGGCTCAAGTTGCTGAAGAACAAGAGGCAGACAATTGTGAGGCAATTGCGCGAAGACGTGGCGGAACTGATCAAACATGGCCACGAAGACAAAGCCTTCAACAGGGTAAAACCCCGTGATGGAATTCATTCATTGCCCTTTTGTCACATCAAGATCCCCATGACATCTCCTCTGTTTTCTTCTTTTTTCAATTACTCGTGAATTCTGGGGTTAGTTCAAATTTTGCTGATATGGAATCTGGGTTTCCCCCAAGCACGTTTTGGTGATAAAGTTAGAGGTTAAAAGTGTTACCAAGAAATAAATGGATGATGCTAAGTACTTATCTGTAATTTTTAGGAATGTTTTGATCTGTTTTTTTCTCATTAATTTCTCTGGTTTTTGTTTTTGTGCTTTTCATACTAAACCCATTATTTAATTTCGGTCTCAGTTTTGTGTTTAATCTTTAATTCATTTTTGTTTTGTTCAGGTTGGGCAGATAATCAAAGATGAATGCATAGTGGCAGTTTATGAATTGTTGGACAATTTCTGTGAATTCATCATCATCCATCTTCCTTACATCCGCAGACACAAGTATGCCTTGAATTTCCAACCACTTTGCTTCCCCATCTAATGATCTGATTTTTTTTCTTTCCTAGTCTTTTTTGTTTCCCCTTACTGTGATTTTAAATGATAGTATTCTTCTGTAATTTGGTGGTTCCAGGGACTGTCCAAATGACATAAACGAAGCAGTTTCGAGTCTCATATATGCTTCTGCAAGATGTGGGGATCTCCCTGAGCTTAGGGTGATCAGGAAGCTCTTTGGTGAACGATATGGGCAGAAATTTGCAGTGACTGCTCTTGAACTATTCCCTGGGAATCTTGTGAACCATCAGGTTGTCAAGTTGTTACAGTTTGCAGACTATTTTAAGGGATGTTTCTGCTTATTTCATAAGGGCTCTTTGAGTGATGCATGAATAGGAGAACTAACAAACTCTGAAATCACAGGTGATTGAGAAACTCTCCCTAAAGTCAGTGGCAGATGATATGAAGCATAGATTGGTCAATGAAATAGCCAGGAATTACTGCATCAAACCAGAGGTTTTGGCAATTGAGTACTATTCTGAATGGCAACAAAAGGTAAGTGCATACTTCTATCAACATAGTTTTACAAGTTTACTGAACTTAAACTCAAGTCCTTTGTTTTGTGAACCTTAGGTGAAAGAAATTAGCGGACATAGAGTACTTGATACAGATGTTCAGACATATTATGAAAGTTCTGAAAGATCTGAATTGCAAATTGTAAATGTGGAGGAGATAGAACGAGAAGTCGTAGATGTTGATTCTAATGTATCTAGTACTTCTGCTAGTTCTTCATTAGCTATGCAAGTTGGCCCAACTATATCAGAGTCTTTAATGCATGATAAGCCACAGATTGAAGAGAATTGTGCTGAAGTTGATTCTCCAAGTATGTTTACTGTGGGCACTGAAGAAAGTCAGAGCAGTACTGTTGGCAGCACAACAAGAGATGGAGATATAGTGATTTACATGGATGACATAGAAGAAGTTCAATCATTTACAGCAAGAAGAGATGGAGACTCCCAGGACCAAAGAATTTTCAAATTCAAAGCTATCGAACCCAAGAGGGAGAATCTTGAAAGCAGTTGTGATCTTAGTTATGTGGATTGTTATGAAACATTGAGTGAGAGTTCAGAGTCAAAAAGCTCCAGGAGAAGTTGGAAGGGGAGTGGGAAAAGGCCACGGAAGAGATCAGTGTGTCAGGAAAACCAATGCTTGAAGGATAATGAATGTTTAAGTTACTATGGCAGAAAGCAGCAGAAGAAAACTCTGTTGGGGGAAATTGAAAGTTCATATTCTGCACAGAAGAGTCTGAAGCAACCTTGTCACATGAAAATGGGAGCTAACATTTTGCCATGCAAGTGTGGATTTGATGGAAAGAGACTAAGCTGTGGCTGCAGCCTTGAACATCCATGTTACTTTTGCACTGGCAATGGCAACAATGTTGATTGTGATGTTCTGCCATGGAAACAAAAGAGAGGAATTACAACTAGGGTGGGAGTTTCAACTCATGGCCGTGAAGTACAATTGAACAAGGGAATAGAATGGCCTGATGTGCCCCAGGAACCAATGAGGAGGAGGAGCTGTGGCAATGAAGCTATGGTGTACAATGTTTTCACATATCCAGATCACCAGCAACCAAATATGCAAAACAAAGTGCTCAGAGAAACCGTGGAGGAATTGGAATCAAGTTTTCAATGCAGGCGTGCCTCGTATAGTTCCACCTCTCCAAATGTGGTTAGTTCTTGGAGCACAAGAAAAGAAATGGTGCCTCCTTATATCAGAGCCGTGACTATGCCACCGGAAAGAGCAAAGGACAATCACAAAGATGACTTCCAACGATCCTTTTCAGATGCCTTCCAATATCCCACTCATGTTCACCCCAAATTGCCTGACTATGATGATATAGCAGCTAAATTCATGGCACTCAAGAAAGAGAGACTGCAAAGTAAGCCTCATTGCAGCAACCGGCAACTTTAGCTTAGCTTAGCACAAAGGCAAGTCTGCACTGTGTAGGTGTATGAAAAGGATCACTACAGCTTTGTATTCTTTCAATTCAGTTTCACATTTCTATTCTTGAGGATCTCTAGTTAATTTTCTTTCTTTTAGTCACTGCCTAGAACAATTTGTTCTCATATAATGATATATGGTAGGATTAATTCCTTTCCCTGTTTGGTTTAATTCCAGACATGAGCTGGGCAAATCTGCTAGAAAATTTTACTATCTTTCAGTGGGCCTAGCCTAATCCAAAGATCTTTTCTTTTACACAAAAACGATATTTTGGGCGAAAGGGAATCGAACATGCATATTTTGGGCGAAAGGGAATCGAACATGCAACTCGCTTTAGCTACAAGCCTCTTATTGGACAAAAAATTTGATAGTACAGAACATAAATCCCTACATGGATTTGTTGCAACAACCTCCTCATATTTATATTTGTTGTGTAGAGTGGACCAGGTTTCACATTTCTCTCAGTTTTCACATAATTTCCATGTGTGTAGCCACTATGTTCACATGAACAAGAACCCACACAAAACATGTCGCATTCTAAGACATGTTTAATATTAATACTAGAAAACAAACCTAACCAAACACTTGGGTGAAGTTAATTAAAAGATCGTATTGAGAAAAACAAATAGTAATTGGAATTCGATACGACGTCGTATTTGGACCTGTAGAATTCTCAAACCAAGATGCCAGAATGCAAAGCAAAGGCAATGTGTCCAACGCGCAAGGAAACGACACGGCATCACTACTGGGCCTAGCTAATGTGTGCGAAACCGAAACGTGTTTTGTGGGATAAAATGGAAACGTCTGTTTTGAGGAGAAGTAAAATAAGATAAGATTGAGAATAGAGCAGACTTTGTTGGGAGAGGTCCCCGTTTTGCACCCGACAGTACCTCGAGGATTAGTCCCAGCGATCGCGGGGGTATACCTTGGTTTTCAAACAAAAAAAATAAGATGAGATTGAGAATATCAGAATTTGGTCCCTCTGTTCATTTACCGGGTTCCTGTATGTGCAAATTTCAACCACATTTGTACACCTCATCTCGCTCCACAAAGGGGTAAAAGAGTCAACAACAAAAAAACCAAAACTTAAAAGCTAAGAACAACTCGAGTAAATTAAAAACAAAAAAACCAAGAGTCTTGATCTCTTCAATGCCAACAAAAGAGCTGATCTGAGCCGTCAAAACTGAACCATTTTTATTTTCAATGCCAACAAAAGAGCTGATCTGAGCCGTCAAAACTGAACCATTTTTATTTCACCGCTCAAGCCACTAAATCAAGCCCCAGCTCCATTTTACACGCGCCGTCGTCAGCTGAGGACCTACCGCCTAACCCATAAGCCTCGATCCTCCTCTTCTTCACCGGAACCACTTGCTGTGCACGCGACTGCGGTTCCAGCCCCAGCGTCAGCTCCAGAGCCAACTCTCCTTCCTCAACTGGCTCACTCCGCTTCCGAGCCGACTCCGGCTCCGCTCGAAATAACAGCTCAGCCTCAGCCGTTTCGGACGAGACCATGCTCTCCGTTTCCTTGCTTTCGCCGTCCACGTTGGCAGCCGCCTCGGACTGGTGACTCAGCGACGACTCGTGACTCGTCGACCGGTTGAACTCGTCCGCACAGCACCCCGCCCAGCTCGGTTTCGCCGAGTCGTCGGCTCCGGACCCCGACCCAGACCCGACCTTGCTGGCCTTGGGCTTGACGACGGACCTCTTGAACCGGTACCGAGTCTTAGCCTGCTTCGGCTCGTTCGACGCGGCCGAGTTCTCGTCTTTGGACACGTGGCGAATGTCGTAGGCCTTGAGAGGTGGGCCGTGTCCGTCGGCGGCAGCTTCAGATGTAATCGAAGTGATCGGGTGGCCCTTAAGCACGGCTTCTACGGCGGCTTGGCAGAGCTGCCAGCTTCCGGACCACAGCAACCCGACCGACCCGTAAATGGGGTTCACAATCCGCCCGCATGCCTCGTATAGCAATGATCGAAAGATCGCTGTAACAACAAGAAAAAACCGTTAGCTCCAGTTTCTGTTTGTTTCTCGGCAAAAGAGAATGCGAGAAAATGCACAAAAGAAAAATACTGACCAGGACGGAGGTGTTCGGGGCCGGCGTTGATGAGGTTCATGAGGCCGGCGCGGCCGTAGAACTTGGCGAGGAAAACGGTGGCGTTTGCTTGGGACTCGGGACTCTTAATCCACTGCAAGCAAGGCCTGATGCTGCAATTCTCGCTGCAGCCTTTGCGGAGTATTCGGCATCCATTACAACTCATCCGCATTTTCGCTTCTTCTACTTGTTGTTCTAAACACAAAAGACTGATCTTGAAAGAGCAGAAAGAGAGAGAGAATAAAGATGGGATTTTTCTTGTTGGGTTTTTGGTTTAAGAGAGAAATGGTTTTGGGATTTTGGATTGGGAGAGAAAGGTGAGGGTATTTAAGTCGGAGAGGGGAGAGAATAGGAAGCGCTGCTGGGTTTAACCAGGTGGTCTGCCCACTGGGGAGACGCAGTTGTTTTTATTTTATTTTATTTTTCTACAAAGAGAAGGACACTGGTTTCCACATTCAAGGAGGGTTGGCCTTCAACCCACTTCTCTTTCTCTCTCCTCCTATCTATCTATCTATCTATCTAATCTCTCTTGAACTTGAGCAGAAATTTACTCTATTTTATTCCATTTTCATTATTTTTTAATCAAACTCCCAATTTCCTCCACAATTCTCGCTCTCAGCGCGTGACGCAAACTCCCAATTAATGGGACTCCTTGGATCTTCTCATTGGGGTGGGGGAGCACAGCCCTTATTGGGATGAGTGTACTTGGTGAGAAACAACTTTGGTTCTCTTGTTATTTTTACCATTGGAGTGGGACAAAGGGATGAGGGTAAAAAGGTCATTTCAGAGGATGTAGGCCAAAAAAGATGGACAGGTGGTGGGGAAGAGGCATGCAAATGGGTACAAAAATAGAGGAAAGAAGATAACGGCGCGTGGCAGGCACGGTGAGGTGTCAGAGTGCGGTCGAATCGCCACATATGAGTGGAGTGGGGCCCAAGGAAGTCGATTTGATGTTTTTTGGGATTAAAATTAAAAAAGTAAAAAAATGAAGGAGTAGAAAAAGGCTGGAAAAGAGCTCCTGGTTTTCGGGAGGTCGTACTGGTTTCGGGAAATAAAAACCGGGTGAGGGAGAAAACAGCGTACCGGTTTCCGGTTTTGGTACGGGACTGTGGGCGCGCTACTTGACCCATTCGCCAACGGTTTTGGAGGGTCTTCTACGTTCTCACTCACACAACACTCATTTTCTCTCTTTTTTTTCGTTTTCTTTTATAAATTACAAAATTCATGCTTATCCTATAAGACAGGACGCTCAACTTGGATTAGTTTATGCCACACCTGCATCCAAACACCACTCCCCAAATAACTGCTTTTTTTTTTTTTTTTTTTTTTTTTTTTTTTTTTTTTTTTAGGAAGTGAAAAATGGAAAAGCCACACCAACCTTTTCACACGCTGGTTTTTTAGTTTTGGGTATATCCGATACTAAGAAATGGACAGCTTTCAATTCAATCAATATCGAATTCATGTTTTGGATTGAATCAAATTTGGATCTTTGAGATTATTAGGTCATGTCCGAAACATTAGGGGGTGTTTGGTATTCTATTCAAATAGGAAACTCAAAAATTTTGATTTTTCTTAAAAACAAGAAGTTTTTAAATCTATTTTTAAGATTCAAAAACTTGTTTGGTATACAACTTGAAAACTATTTTTAAATCTTAAAAACTTGAGAAGTTGTGGGTTGTTAGAAAAAAATTGAAAAAACATATACTTTTTGTTTTTAATAATTTGGGTGTCTTTTTTGTTGTTCTTGAGTTTGAGTTTTTAAAAATAGGGCTATGAAACAGATTTTCTTTGTTTTGAATTCAAATTCTGTTTTTGAATTAAAAAAGTTGGATTCAATTTGAATACCAAACAAGCCCTTAATTTCTCTTTTGATAATAGCTTAGTCCAGTTTCTTGCCTATATATTGGTTTGTGAATAATTAAATTAGATAAACCACATTAGAGCATGCATTTGGCTAAATATTAATAATCATATCTACTCCAAATAAGTTAGTTTAGAGAAAAAAATAAAAAGGTGGTTTTGCAATAGTACCAAATAAAGCAAAATAGTTGTCCTTTTGTTTGTCTTGTATATACCAAAAACATGAGAGAAATGACAAAGGATCGGGAAAGGTTATGGGTTCAAGTTCTAATATTTGTGTAATATATGCGAGTTTAGTATATTATTGCTAGAAAATATCCTAAAAAAGAGATATGCATATAGTCCTCTCCATTTATTTTTTATCCCTCATAGTTCCTTACCAAATGCATGCGATAAGTGGGCGGCTAGAAAGAGTTGGAAACAAATGAATTCCAGCTTCCTAACCACATGCGACAATTAATTAATTAATTAATTAAAGGGCATAATCTTGATCAGCAGAATATTTGAATATTTAATTGGAGAAAGAAAGGGCTTGGTGAATCTTCTGGAAAACCGAGGACAGACAAGTGGTTGAAGAGAAAGGTGGTGGATCAGTTTCATGCACGAGGCTCCAAAGTCGTGGGTCATGGACACTTCATTATATCACGGGGGCAAAACGACACCGTTGCACCTACCTAGCAGCTCACTCAGCTCCCCGTTTTTAGGAGGCACCAAATACCATTACCACCTTTCACAAAATCTGTGTCCTGTGCAGCTGTGCCTACTCTCATTCATCTTGTTGAAAACAATGGGGAAAGGATAAAGTTGGTGGCTGCGAGACGTGCCCTCCTAAATTGGAAATTAATCTTCGTCGCATTAAAAAAATGTTTTGCACTTTAAACCAAACCATTAATTCATTCATTAAGACGCATGATTATTAATTGAGTTTTTCTTTTCTTTTCTTTTTCCCCATTTTTAGTACATCGATGGAAGAAGTTTTACTATTATTTCTCTCCACAAACTGCTTGATTAATTCAGGTTTATAGAATATTAAGTCGCCCATTTTTTCCCCTCCTTGTGGGTTAGGTCAAATTCGAGTCTCTTTTTCCGTAATTTATAGCTAAAAAAAAAAAAAAGGATTTCTTTTTCTTTTCTTTTTACCCATTTTTAGTCCATCGATGGAAGAAGTTTTACTATTATTTCTCTCCACAAACTGCTTGATTAATTAAGGTTTATAGAATATTAAGTCGCCTTAAGTAGCAGCACTAGCCATCTTCAGGGGAACAGCCTGCACATGTCATGTTTGATTACGCACAACTTGCATTATCATATATATCTTTTCCAAATAAATAAATAAAAAGTTGTAATATCATATATTAATTCACATTAGTTCAAGGTTCATGTGAATTTGAACAAAAAGATTTGGAGCGCCCCGTTTTGTTTTAATGATGGTTTGCTTAGTAAATAATTAACAATATTCCTTGTAATGATGGACGCACAACCACATTGATTAATTAAGTAAGTTTTCATGTACGATTGTAAATAGGAACAATTAATCCAACACTTGCATTAGTTTAATTTAAGTTGGCTTTCTTGCAAAGGATGGGATTCACTAATGTAATAATTTCGAACCATTATTTTTTTAGGAAAAGTCATAGATTCTAGTCCTAGTATTCTGGGTTCGATTAGGTACGAGTCTTATACATATTTATTTACAACCTTAATTATTGTATTCAACTCCCTTTGAAGTTTGAACCCAAATGTGAACCAAGCTTTTATACAGTATACGTAGCGTGAAAGACAATGTTCATGCAAGTTGCAAGAATTTCATAATCTGAGGTTTTGTACTATCGCACGTGATTTATCAATTTATCTGAACATGTTATTGCAAATTAAGTGGCGCTAATTACAGCCATAGTTTATGTAATTTGCAGTGTGCTGCAAGATGGAGAATATGTAGGTGAAGGTTAAAAAAATAAAAAAAAAAGAGGGCACGTGGTTGATTGTGTGTTTCCATGGAAAGGCGGAAAGTTTATTCTTCTCCTAATTAACTATATAATTAATTTAATTTAATTGCCTGACGCTGAGAAGTTGGAAGACAAAAGACCTCCCTGCAGTATTTAATATGAATATAAGTTTGGCATCTAATCTTTTGATCCAACTTGGTGGGTTCAGATGAACACTAATAAGAATTACAACAACCCAACCGAACCAGGTTTTGAAGTGATGTGACTTTTGTTATACGATGTTGTTTTTGTTTATTATTTATTTCCCATCAGATTAAAAGCATATCTAATTGTTTGAAAATTCGATATTATCCTGATGGGCACAGGCACAAGCACAGGCACAGCGCCAAACCAAACCAAAGGGTCTTCTTCTTCCTCGTTCTGATTCTGAAGCGGACTGTGATATACGTGTAGGGCAAGCAGAAGGGATGGTGAAAATGTGCCCTCCATGCACAGGTCAGGAACAGAGATGAGATGTGAGGAGAGAGCGCGTGGCAGCGACAGTGAGGAGAAATGACAGGAGAGAGGGATCAATTGGCTGCCTGTCCAATCAGCCATGTGGGATGGTCGTTGAATTGAAAATGAAATAGAACATGCTTATTTCCAAATTTCCCATATTTGGTGTCACAATTGAGCTCCTGGTTTTTGGGAAGGTTCTTCTCTCTTTGTTTTTCAATCCAATGGTCAAAATTGTCAAGACACTCAATACCACTCACTCTCCCAATTCCCCTAGTTTTTCTTTTTTGTTTTATTATACAATGATTCCATCAAGGGACCTAGTCTGTGGGCGCCTCATGTTCAACAGTAATAATATATAGATGTATTGATGGTTACTTGTAGTTGTGGCTCTACCTAATATATAGATTTTAGGATGAGTTTTTCCTGATTCGGGTTGAATTACCATGGTAACCGTGTGTGTGAGTTTTCGTCTTTTCCTTTTCTAACTTGGGCAAATATTTATTAATTTTTGAAGTAATTATTCTCAAAATTCGGGTTGAATTACCATAGTAACCGTGTGTGTGAGTTTTCATCTTTTCCTTTTCTAACTTGGGCAAATATTTATTAATTTTTGAAGTAATTATTCTCAAAGTAAAAAGTCCACATTAACTATTAACAGCAAAGGATAACTATGGGCCATGGCCCAAAAGAGGATAAGAGAGAACTCAACTCACCCAAAAGAAAAAAAAACGAATAGAGCAGACTTTGTTGGGAGAGGTCCCCGCTTTGCGCCCGACAGTACCTCGAGGGTTAGTCCCCGCAATCGCGCGGGAATACTTTGGTTTGCACCAAAAAAAAGTCCACATTAACTATTAACAGCAAAGGATAACTATGGGCCATGGCCCAAAAGAGGATAAGAGAGAACTCAAGTCACCCAAAAGAAAAAAAAAGGACTAGGACAAGAAATGTAGATTACTATTTTACCCCTCATACAGTCATTACTTTGGTCTATACGGAAAAGCAAACGGAACACACGAGAAGGTGGAGGAAAAAGCCGTGAGTGCTGAAACACAAGGACACGTGTAGGACGGAGAGGAAAAAGATGGAAAATGTGGCATCCATGCAAATGCAAATGGCTTCCAAAAAACACATGAACACCAAGAGAACAGCGCGTGACGAGCACGTCAATT